TAAATGTTTAACATTTGAGTCATCAAATATGGGTGAGGGAGAAGGTTATGTATTTGGTTACGTAAGAGAACACAACATTCCTGCATTAACTCATCTCTTATATGGAAGCCATTATTTTCAGAGTTTTAGATAGGAACACTATATAAAGAATGCACATTCTGCGGCAGCGGCATCATCATCATCATCATGTGTTTTTGACATTGTACAATGGCAGAACTCATAATGAAGAAAACTAGAGATATTTTGCAGCATATAAATAGACCATATAGAGATAATTCGAGTTATGTTCCCAATAAATTACTATGCCATAAAAAAGTGTTATATGTATACAGTTAACCTTTCTTCACAATAATGTCCAGAGAGTTTCACTTGAAGCAGTTTCCCGATGAAATTCCTTATTTCTACTTGGGTAGAATGTATCTTTGTATATCAATTATATCTATTTAGATAAACCACTTGACAATGGTGAGTATCATGCTTCAAAAGAGCAGATTTTATACGTTCATTTTATGTAGCAGAACTTTGAATATTCATATAGTGATAAAAAGCTTTGATGTAAAGAATAAGTTAAACACATCGTTTCTCACATTGTTAGCAGAGATTTCACCTTTGACCTTTCTTTTAAGGTTTTTAGAACATCTGATGCTTTTTGATAATGGTTTAATATTACTTTTTCAGATTGATTAAATACACTTCATACATCACTGAACAATGAGTAGCATTCAGATAGGCTGTCCACTGAGCTGCCTGCAAAAATGATAAAGTTAAAAAAATAATCTTCAAAGTAAAGTCAAGCCTGAAATTGAAATCTTTGACGCATACATCTCATAATTAGTTCTCTCTCTGCCAGATCTAAAATGTGAATATGCTGTTCTCAAAATTATTCAAATCTTTTCCCATAGAAATTTAATCAAGGGTACCAGCTTTTTGAAAAGTTTTCCTCTAGATCTGAGGCAACATTTAAAAGTTCCCCGAACTAGCTTGTATGAAGTTGTTGAATATCCATTTTAGGCAATGTAGGATGGGGCAGGGTATGGGGTTGCTGCAAGGCTCATGACAGATGAAATGCACATAGCTGCTTATCCAGCTGGGTTTTATAAAGTTATGTACCCAATGTTGGTACGAGGCCATAATGAGACCTTACTTCCACTGTGGAAGTACAATATATTAATGTGACTACCACTTCTCTCCTTCTGGTCACTTTTATCTTGAATCTGAAGGGAGAATTGGAACAAGTAAGAATTTATACCAGCTTGTTATACTCAAGTCCATTTCAAATGGAAAATTTTCCCTTTACGTATAGCTTTGAGTGACATTGATATACACCTCTCATATATTCTATGTACCCACTGTGATCCCAACAGCATCTTTAGGCACACTGGGGCATGCCCAATGCAAATTTTGCCTTGTTTTCCTTTGACAGTTTATTCCTATGCCATATTAAAAACTGCTTTCAAATATTCAGTCTGTTTCAAAAGCATATTGCCATGTGACATAGAGTTGTTAGCTGAGAAACATATGCTTAATCCCCCTTGGACACGAGAAGCAAATGGCATAGCTCTTTAGACTTTAACTTATAATATGGATACATGTGTGATCATTACATATATGTATTTAGTGGGGCTAGATTAAAACTGTCCCTCCCTCCCTCTGTGTGTGTGTGCGTGAGAGAGAGAGAGATTACAAGTTTGTGAACTTTTTACTTCCCATAGTACTAAATTTAGCAGCAGCAGCCGCATAAATGGAGCTTTTTACAGTGGCTGCCAGTTGGTACCACAATTTGCCCACTTCAGGATGCTCGTAGAATGATATCATGTCACACAGCATCATTCTAGGGATGTTGGTAGTGTGTGTGGGGTGAGAAATAGCCGCCACTGACTGGAAGCCACCAAAAGGAGCTCAGCTTTGATATGCTTACCAAATACATCCTTCATGCCTACCTTTATCACTATAAACATTTTTCCCCATATAAAAGAAGCAGCTATCACTGCCTACCACCAAGGTAAACACACACACACACAATATCAAACCCTTTTGAATGATTTTGTCACCACACCTAAACAAAATTTCCTTCTCTCCTTTCAAATTCATTATCTACCAATGGAATGAAGAATATGGGGCACTCTTTAATTGCAGCCCTTTGCAATTCCACTCTCTTTTCTTTGAGGTTCTGTTGAGTATGTTAACATTTGAAGTAATGATTAGACAGGATCTGTAAGGATTGATAGATGTGGCTTGGGTCCCGGTTACTTGAAGAAATGTCTTCTTCCCTAAGTGGTGCACTGCCCCCTGAGATCGGAGGCAGAGGCCCTTCTCCAGGAACCCTCTTTGAAGGAAATTAGGAAGGTTGTTACTCAGAGAAGGGTCTTTTCAGCGGTGGCACCCTGACTGTGGAAGACACTCCCTGGGAAGGTTTGCCTGACGCCGTCACTCTATTTTTTAAAAAAAATGTTTTTTTTTGGCATCAGGCAAAGACATAGAAACATGGAAACAGAGTGAGTCAGAAGGGGCCTCTCGGGCCATCTAGTCTGACCTTCGGCACCAGCCGGCTCCGCTCACGACATGCCCACCATGTGGACGTCCAGCCTATACTTGAACACCCACACTGATGGGGCCTCAACGACCTCTCGTGGAAGCCCATTCCACACCCTCAGGGTCCTGACTGTCAGGAAGTGCTTCCTGGCATCCAAATGGAACCTTGGCTCCCTGAGCTTTGCTCCATTGGATCGTGTCCTGCCTTCCTCTGCAGGGGAGAACTGGTCTCTACCCATCTCCATGTGACATCCCCTCACATACCTGTATGTCGCCAACATATCCCCTCTGAGTCCCCTCTTCTCCAGGCTGAAGAGACCCAGTTCCCTCAGTCTCGCCTCATATGGCATCCCCTGCAAACCGGCCACCAACCTTGTGGCCCTACGCTGCACTGACTCCAACCTGGTCATATCCTTTTTGTAATGAGGGGCCCAAAACTGAACACAATACTCCAATTGCGGGTGCACCAGAGTCGTGTACAGTGGTAGTAATACCTCTCTTGATCTAGAAGCCACACTTCTGGCTATGCAACCAAGGGTGGCATTCGCCTTCTTGACCACCGCATCACACTGCTGCCTCATGTTTAGCCTGCAGTCAACCAGTACCCCGAGGTCCCTTTCACAAGTGCTGCTCTCCAGCCACTTGTCAGCTAACCTGTACTTATGACACCTATTCCTATGCCCCAAGTGCAAGACCTTGCACTTATCCACATTGAACGCCATCCTGTTGTCTCCTGCCCACTTCCATCATCT